AACAGATATATATTGAGATACAGATACAATTGATACAAGATACAGACACAGCTACAGATACATTTTTGCACACACACACACACGGATGATGCAGATACTAACAATGATGTAGATACTGACGCAGTTACAGAGATACGGTATGCGGGGCTAAAATATAGGGAATTAAGTCAGTCAGTGAGTGTGTAACTGAATTTGTCTGCCGTCTGTTGCACAATCGAGAGCGAGTGGCCTATAGACCAGATGGAAAGTCTTGCTCAATCTACATGCAACGCTGGCACGTTTAATGTAAAACTCAGCTTCAATGCAATCGCAACTGCAACTAATTAGTTTGTCGGCTGCTGCTGTGGCTGCGGCTGCGGCTGCGGCTGCTGCTGTTGGTGCTGTAATCGTAGCGCAACAAACGACAATTTTCCCACTGAATTTTCACTTTTCTTTTTGTGTTCGCTCTCTTTTGTTTTCATCCCGCAGAAGGGAAATTAAAACAAAACAAAACACAAAAGAATTTATGAGTTCGAAAACTTTTCAAATAGTCAAAGCGACTGCCAGCAGAGGCGGCCACGGGGATGGGGCGTGGTCGCATTTTCATAACATTCTATACAGTACGAGCCGAACGCGCGTATCTTTTATGTGTCCCATTGGCATCGTTTACGTACCACAGCCGCTCTCAAAATATTTAAAAGACCATAATGAGCATAGTTTAGAGTCGTTAGATGGAGTACTAAAATAACACAGCTGATAAACCAGTTGCCGCTGCTTATTTGAACTCAATTAATTAGCCAAACAACATTTAAGCTAAATAAGAACGAGCTACGTACGCCAAAAAAGAAACAATTCTGTTTTATATTTTATAAAACATTCTCTTTCCGCTCAGTCGTTAATTGCCAAACTTCACTGTTTTAGTATCCACTGAATGTAAATGCAGAGACGACCTTTAAAAAGATTTATCTGAAAAATGTTGAGAGTTCCTTCACTTATTATATTGTATATATGTATCTAAGCTGGAACTTTAGAAAACAACTTTTAATGGACTTTTGACTAGTTGGAAAATGTGCAGCAGCTAGTGAAAATCGAGTTTGATTTATCAATGAAAAATGTTTGAAGTTTTGAAGTTGTGAAGGCATTATAGAAGCAGTACACATATATGAAGAAAATTTAATACAAATATCATAAAATAAACAGTTTTAGTGAGTATAAATATTCACAGATTCAATTGGAACATTCATAAAAGTCTATGAAAGGCTTAAAGAAAAATCTATAGGAAATAAACTCTTCCGCATTATAGGAAGTGTAAGAGTACGACTCTGTATATTTATTTCTATATGAATTTACTGCATTTCATTTACACTACTTCAGTCGTATGATCAACATAGTTTCAGTATTCATTATCGTATCGCCAAATCACATCGAAGTGCTCTTAGTGGCTGTATATGGGTATCGGAATAGGTGCCAAGTACCTTTTAGGAGTATTGTGTGTTTTTGCTTTTCTTTTTGTTTTTGGTGCTGCAGCTACTTAAATTCAAATTCAAATCAAATTTGAATCCGAATTCAAAATCAAATTCAAAATCATGGCCATGGCTCACATGCGATTTCTCGATTGCGGCTTTCGGCCACAAAGCAAATACAACACATGCCAATAACAACAATAACAACAACAACAACTCAAATACATAGAAGAAGAAAAATAAACAAGCTTGGCGGAATAAATGAATATTAAATGGACAAACGACGACGAAAAAAACAGTTGAAGTGGAAGAAGCAGCAGAAACAAGTGAGAACGCTGCAATCAAGAAAAGACTTGACTGTACGATAGATACTCTGTGATATGCATACTAAGTATGCCCACTAAGTTCAAACAGTTGCAGCGGCAATAAATTAGCTGATCCATTGTAAACATTCCAAATGTCATTCCTTACCTACAATATATGGTCGAAACATTTTCGTTACTCTCACATGAATTCTGTAATAGTAATATACTCGCTTTCCCGCAGAGACTAGGGTACATCAATAATACGTAAATAAACGTATGGCAAATCCAAGCGATATTCGATACGTAAATGCCATAACATGTTTGCATGTCTGATTGTTTGCGCTATCAATTTGCATTGTGAATGGGTGCGAATGGAAGTGCGACTGCCAATCCGAGTGTGCGAGTGTGTGAGTGTAAAGTACGCAAACTACGCAAAGCCAAAGCCAAAGCCAAAGCCAAAACCATAACCAAAGCCAAAACCAAACCCCAAAGCACATGCAACCAAATGCGACGCGGCGAACGGCGCTGAAAGCGCACAATTTGATTGACGGCAACGCTGACGACGCTGATGACGACGTCATCGTCAAAGCATTTCAAGCTTGAAACTTGGCCTAAGATTTCAGCTCAGGCGACGGCTGTGTTGCCGCCCACGTACAGCCCAACAACAACAGCAACAACCACAGAGAGATACTTTTACACTCAGACCACGGGAGCGGAAGCTACAGCTCTCAAAGTCGACTGTGTAAGAGCGAGGAGTGTATAGCGGAGAGTGGTGAACGGAGAGCAGAGAGCGGATAGCGGAGACCCGTTGAGCCATGGGCAGCGCGATTGGCGTGAGAGCGACTGTCGCAGCAGCAATGTCGACGAGGGGCAGCGGGTAGCCGGGCTGTCAAGCTTTTGCGGTTTTTAGTTACAGCGCGCCAACTTGTTTGCGCACCGTGGCCCGCAATAGCGAATTTCCCATGCTATGCGAATTATACAATATTTGTTTTGTTCGGGTTTGCTATTGGTCTAGATTTATCTATTAAGTACGCATTCTATTAAATAAGTTTTAGCACGGGTATTTCGACATTGTAAAAGTAGTAGTAGCAGTTGTAAAATTTGTATTAATTTATTTTATTAATTTATTATAATAAATTATAATGCTAACTGCGCAGTAAACGACTGCGCTATATCGACTCAGCTCATGGCCCTGATCAAGAATATATACTTTATGGGGTCTGCGATGATTTCTTCTACATGTTATGTACTTTTCACAAAACCATTTTACGCTGATTTCTCATTTTCAATGGGTTCAGGGTTTAAAAAAGTTATTAGAAAAGAAAACACAACATTGACGAGGAGGGCCCACTGTGCAGCGTGCTTTTGTCATTTACATTGTGGCGAGCAATTACATGCGACAAGCCAGGCAACTGTTGGTTTCTTATGCCTTTTTTTTTGTAGGCGTGTCCCAGTTTTGGTTTTGCTTTTTTTCGTAGTTTGCCACATTTGGCAGACACAATTTATGTCAAGCCGACATCTTTGGCGCTGTGCGAAAACATGCGTAAAAGTAGCTGCAAACGGAACCTCCCAGCCCCCTATTTTACTGCTTCGGACTCAACAACAGTTGTGGCAAGGCATAAGTGCGAATGCGTGTGTGTATGCGTGTGGCTGTTGCTAATAGACGCAAAAATTAAAGCGCCAGCAAACCCAAACAAACTTTCTGGGCAACAATATAAAGTGGCCGAGCGTATATGATAGCTAGTTATGTGCGATAGAGAGAGACATATATATATATATAGAGAGAGAGAGAGAGAGTGATAGAGAGACGGAGAGCAGAGGGCGCTGGCAGAGGCTGAATTTAAAAGCGGCGTTGACAGCCACAGTGACGACGCCGGCGACGACTGCCAGGCTGTTGGCTTCTGTCAAACATGTCATACGCAAAATAGCTTAGCTGTCATAAAAACAACAGTAAGCAGCAGCCAGGAGGGCCGTAAAACTCTTTATTGCAATCCTAACAACAACAACCGCATCAAYAGCAGCCGATAACACAGGCCGTGGTTATGTCTAACAAGTGCAGGGCGTAAGGTAAGTGTGGGAGGGGCACATTTGGGGGGAGGTTGCATTTAAATTCTTATTGAGGAATTCTCCTGATGTTTTGCTTGTAGCCTCAATTTACATTCATTTTTATGTTTTATTTGATTTATTTATTAACTAATCTCCTCGCTCTTGCGGCTTCTCCTTTAGCCTGTGTGCCCCCTCTCTCTCACTCTCTCGCTTGCTGAAACGCCAACGCCTCGTAGGCGCATATATGTATATACACACACTCGCAGCAACTGTAAATAGTTTTTCTTTTTGCTGTGTCCGTGTCTCTGCCTCTCTGTGTGTGCGTGCATGCGGTATTTTAATAATAGCACACACATACAATATAAAAGCTCCCGCTGGAGCTAAAAGAAGAAGAACGTAGGCAAAACATAGAAAAAATGTTGCACTAAAAACTTCAACGCCCGCATTCTGACAAATACCCACAGAGCAGAAAGCACAAAACTTCTATGTGGCTCCACGTCACACACATATATACACATATATATACACACCCACACACTAAGAGCCCTTTGGTAATGGGGATGTGGAAGGGGGATGGGGTCAGTGCTGAGTTAGGCTGCCGCAATAAAGCTCATGTTGTGTGCGGCAACGGCAACAGTTATACCCATGTACACATACATATTCGAGCGTATATGTGCATGAGCAAGCTGATTGGCTAGGCGGTGGTGGGGATAGGTAGCTGAGCTGGGGATGCAACCCTTTCCCCAAAACAGGAAGTTTGTAGTTTTTTTCAATTAACACTCGCGGAATGTATGCGAGAAACTAGCTACCCCATCTAGCAAAGCGAGTGAGCAGCAGAAGGAGAAAGAGATAGACAGAGAGAAAGAGAGGGAGGTGGAAGAGCACAAAGGCAAGTCGAGAACCGATTCGCTGCATTCGCTATATCATAATACACACACACACACATGCAATTAGATATTTACTTGTATATTTGCGCGATTGCTATTTATATTTGTTGATGTTGATATTGTTGTTGTTGTTGTTATTGTGACGGCATAAACAATCCGCTTATACAATGAAGGCGCGAATTTGGATCCGTTTATTGTTTGTCGTTGTTGTTGATTTCATGACTGCCGTGGCAAACACGCTAATAAAACATACCACAATAAAACTGCAAGTCACATATACAAACAGACATGTATACATGTATATGTAAATATAAAACTACCTTTTGGTGTCGGCACCTCCGAAGGACGTGCGGGACGTCTCTTTTGACTCCACCGAAGAACAACAAAGACGACAACGAAAACCCCGACAACCAACAAAACGGCCACGGGAACGTTAGGAGCGGCTGCACAGTGCAACGCGGCAACGGCAACTGCGGCTTTTGGTTTGAACTTTTGCTATTTGCCGCCTTCCCTAAAGTAGCGAGAACAACGACCGTTACTTATTTTCTATTTTGTTGTTTCTGTATTGCGCGTACACTCTTACATACGCACACGCATAAACACACTTACACACTTTTTACTTGAATCACAAACAAATTTTGTGTTTTAACACTTTGTACACCAAACGCGAGCGCGTAGCAATCAAACATCGACGCTTGTTCTCTCTTTTAACGACTGAAACCGAAAACAGCAAAAGCCCTGTTGAAACGGGCAGTATGACATCAGCTGATTTTCACAACAGTGCTGCCAAGTTCGATAAACTGAGCTCTGTCATATTTAGTACATTATTCGATATTTGAATGACGAACGCATTTTTCATCAGGTGGCAACTATTAAAAACAACAGCTGAGTCAGATAAATAGGCGCGTAAATTCAAATTTTTTCAACAGGCAATCTCAACAACATTGCAGGAAAACTGTCTTTCTATAATACTTAAAAGCGGTTTAGCTAATTGCTTTGCAATAATATCTTCCTATCTCTCTTATTGGCAGTAGATGGCAGTGCTTCATAGTATTTAATTAAAATTGTATTACTTAAACATCATATCATCATTTAAGGGAAAGTTAGTTAAAAATGGGTAAATATTTGTTGATTTATCTCATTTACACCATTTCCAGATGCAGCCATAGTTTTTATTACAGCCAAATTCGCCCGGATATATGTCACAAAAATCCTCGGATGCCTTGAACTCGCAACTATTACTAGGGCAGAAGTAATAGTAGCAGCCTGTCGAGCAGGACTCTCGCAAACCTTGGGCACAACCAGAACAATTCAGTACTCCTGAAAGTGTTTTTAAGCCACATAAAATAAATAGTTTTCAAAATAATTTCCAGATAGACTTACCGCTCTCAGGACAATCGGGAGTCATGCAACTCGAAATGGGGGGATTTGGTGGCATCACCAACATTCGTGGATTGCCTAACTCTACTATTTCCGGGGGCTTGAGATAAATTACTGGACTAGTACAAACCTTCGGGTCGCAGAGCTTTCGCTTTTGATTGAAGCAGACCCATTTGATTCCATATTTTCGGCAGATACGTGGACTATTGACTGTACAGCAGCTTGCAGATAGCTGCTGAGTCAAACTGACTGGTGTCGTGGTTTCGACAACAGTATTGACCTTTGACTCTACGTATGCATAACTCTGATCCGTACTGGGATCGTAGGGCTTAATGGTCTTATACTCCACTTTGTTCACATTTTCGGTTGCTGTGCGAGACTCGTGCTTGTTGTTTATTACATTATCGATCTCCAATACTGTTGTTATGTAACCAGGCTCTTGGCATTGCTTGCGCCACCACACGGTGCCCATTGGACAGGCGGGTGACAGGCAGCGACCATCATAGTACTCGCCCCGGGTGCAGAGTATCTTGCGGCATTCGTCCCTGAAGTAAATTGAGCCAGGTGGACATCGAGCTTGTTCATCGGGCTCTCCAACTGGCGGTGGATCGTAGCTGATGATCGGTTCTTCCTCTGGTGCCGGGGTTGTGGTAGTGGTGCTGGTACTAGTTGAGGTTGTGGGCATCTGATAATATGGGCTTGGAGTGGTGATGATTGGTTTGGTATCATAAGGGCAAGGTGCGGGATTAATCAAATGACACATGCCATCCGTATGTAGATGGTAGCCTAACCCAAATCAATATGTGTATGTATTGTGTGGGTATTTTATATTTGCATATATATCTTACCTTCCTGACACCTACTCGTACTATGGCACATGCCATTGATAGCTGAATAGCCTTGGGGGCATTCCATCCACTACAAAAATCCAATTAATATATATTTAATTCATATGTTTTTATTTACTACCTTGCCATTGGCATCTTGATAACATTGCGCGACGCATAATACGCTGAGTATTGACAAAATCGTCCACATTGAAGTCAACTTAAATTTGACGTGATGTTTTAGTGGCTAGGCTTGACCGACAACTAATCAACGTCTAAGTCTCTCCGATGCTTAGCTGGCGCTATAAACATTTTTTTTTTGAGCTCTGATAACCTTTTTTGATACCCTGAGCCTATTGAAAATGGGAAATCAGGGTATATTCCCTTTGTGAAAAGTATGTAAGTAATCAGCCTAACTTGAAGACCTGGACACTTCAGTCTTAATGTGTATGTACATATGTACATATATTTAATGGTTAGCTTACAGATTTCGGATACCGTGCCCCCTTCGCCCAAAATTTGTAAAAACGTATTTCAAGTACTAGAGACTTGTGCTTTGGAATGTACACAGATTCAACCATATGATCATGCTCTAAAAGTTTCATAAAGATAGTGTTACTACAAGAAAAATGATTTAACTAATAAATTATCATAATATTGCCCACCCTGCACTATACATGTATGCATGTGTGTATAAAAGAAGTGCAGAATGATTATAATATCAACTTAGAGGGTTCAGGGTATCTCCTAATCGAGCAGTCTCGACTGGAGCCTTCCTACTTGTTCTATTTTAATCTGATGATGTGCTAGTTGCGACGTTTACTTCAGGCATTGTTTTCTATTCACAGCTTATTTCTAATCGGCATGTTCGCTTATCAAGTGCTGATTTTTCCTTGCCTGCTCTTGGCTCTTGATCCTGCTGCTGCTCAATATCTACAGAGCTCCGTCGCCGTTTCGTGTACTACGCCCTACGTGCTTCAAAATGGGGCTTGTGTGCTCCCAACGGTTGCCTCGAGTGAGTGAAATTACATTAAATGTACGAGTCTAAGCGATTATTTGTGCTTAATTCATATTTATAGGCCCTTTAATCAATATTTATGCGATGACAACTTCACCATGCTCGACTCAAGCGGCTCTTCCCTCTACACCTGTGCAATCTTTACCTGCACTTTGTCCTAATCAGCCTGTAGCACCCTGTCCAACATCAGGCTCAACTCAGCCTAGTGTTCCTGCTCAGCATCTTCCGTGTCCGAATCAACCGGTGGCACCCTCTCCGACCGTTCCAGTACAATCTCAACCGCTCCCTTGTCCGAATCAACCTGTGGCACCCTCTCCATCTGTTCCAGTCCAACCTCTGCCTTGCCCAACAGAGCCGAGTGTTCCAGCTCAATCTCTTCCGTGTCCGAATCAACCGGTGGCACCCTCTCCGACCGTTCCAGTACAAGCTCAACCTCTATCATGTCCAAATCAACCTGTGGCATCCTACCCAATCGTTCCAACTCAACCT